TAAGAATTATTTTAAATAAATAATACTCCAAGGTTTTCATTGTGGACCCAGAGTTATACAGATAGGTGTTTGAACGATCCATGATTCAGGACAACAAATGCAGTAGATGGTGCAACAGTTTAATGCCCAAGCGTTTCCTTGTATAGGATCACGGCCTTGTTCACATTGTTCACAGCATCATTCATGTAAGGCTAAATACAAATGACTGCTTAGAGACACTTATGTCCAAAGAGCTAACGATACTTTACAATCAAATCGATGTGAAACTGACCAGCCGGAATGTTGACGAACAAACAGTGTTAAGTTCTTATTAAAACAATCGGACAATCAGATTATTGTTGCGTAAGCAGGATTTATCTAAGCATTTTTCCATTCGTCCCCTTGCTTTCACTAATAACCACAGATCTTTATTGAAACTTCCGGTACTGCCCAACGTGTGATTACTAAAGGGTATTCTTTCAGTCAAACCAATGTATCTGCTATAGATGAAGATGAAGATGAAGACCAATCTGAAGTAGATCTGCTGACAGAGGAGTCCTTGTCAATTCTGGCAATGAAAGGCCGGATGGGCAATCTATGCACATCTTCTGTGGTTATTAGCGAAAGCTGGTGGGGGGGGGCAATTGCAAAACTGATAAATGTTTTGTTCGCTTGCTGGACAAGCGCCTTCAAACAGTCGTTCGTATTTAGCCTTGCCATGATGATGTTACGGTCCATGTAGTGAAACGCGTTGTTCAATCTGCTGTATTAGGCGCCCTGAATCATGAATCGTTTAAACGCCTACCTACGAGTTATTTTATTTCTTAACATGTTTGCAAAGTACCTTCTGGTTTCTCTGAAATGAAACGGTAGGGTAAAACGATGTATCAGCGAGATCATGACTGGTAATATTGAAGCGGTCTTTGCTTCCAAAATCTATGAATTTTAAAATTCGTAAGAATAGTGATTAAGGACCTTCAGAAAAAGTCGGAAAGTCTGAGCTGAAAGTTGAGACAACCTTTAATTATGGTCATTGCAGCTGAATTTAATGTATATCAATTCTGCTGATTATAAATATCAAATGGTCGCTAGAAATACCTTGCAATATTTGTTTTATAATCAAGAGTAGATTGTGGCAGCATATAGGATAGTACGGAGGATTCCATTACAAACAAAGGAACCATCCATATTACTCTCCAACAAGAAGTAGGAATATGTGACACTCTTTGCGATCGTAGTAAGCGCCTTCAATACTTTTGCAAATGAAAAAGTAGCTTAATTGGATCTATTCAGGCATAGTTCAAGATTATTGAAGAATGCTGACGATTAGAGCTACCTTAATTCGCAGTTTTCTCTACATTAAGGCTGAATCTGATTCATTACAATACCGAATCAGGTGGAAGTTTTGAAATTGTGCGGGATGAGTGAATGCTTCATTTTCGTTTCGGAAGAGAACCGTGTCTGATGTCTGTATTCAAAGTCGAGGAGGAGTTTTTATAAAGAGGAGAGGAAACGACACTGGGGACCTTCTGACGGTCGAGGCATGAATCTTTTTGCTATGTCGAAAAGGGACTGGCTGTTAATGGCACTTTCATCAAGCAATGAATAGTTCATAAGTGCTCTGCTGTAAGAACATTAATGCACAAAAGTCAGCGATCGATTTGACTATGAGGTTGTGTGGCTTAAGAGGTTCAACGATGTATAGGCTTATGACTATGAACCGATTGCACCTTCATGTTGTCACCCTTCTTTGTAAACGATGGATTACAACGTGAAGGCATGTCGCCCAAACCAAACAGATAAAGAAATCTTAACAGGAAGCAACATCTTCTGCGGACAGGATAATAAAGGTTGCAAATAATCCTGACGACGATTTGAACAGATCATAATAATGACGGCTGTCGCGGAAACCGAGATGAAGCGCTTTGGTGGTTAGCTGCTGCTGTTGAATGCTGTGGTTAAAAATTCTGTGTGAATGCAGGATGAATGCTGTGTTCGCTATGGACTGACTTCTGCAGGTAAGCAACGAACTTCCTGAGCAAAATTAAGACTGCCTCAAAGCAGTTGCTCAGAGGCAAAAGGCCTTTACCTACAATGCAATGGGAAGGAGCTAGCAAGTCGACAGCTAAAACAGTGAGTAAAACGAAGGTTCATTCAGTGGCAAAAGTTCGGTGAAGAGCTGGAGTCGAGATTTGGGATGGCGAAGAAGATATACTCACAAATCATCTGCTGTCTCCAGCAGAAGAACAGACTCAGATCTAATAGTTATGAATGACTAGATCGGACACCTTCTTATCAGGAAAAGGAATATACTTTGGCGATGGAGAAAATACTTTGAGGAACTCAGTCCCGAGTAACCGCAGGAATACTCGCCTACACAGCATCAAAGAACAAATATTGATCTGCCAAGATGAATTCACGGATTCTGTTAGAGGCTTCGAAAGTGAAACGCTCTTAGAATCGACGAAATTCACCTTAAGGTGCTTAAAAATTGTGCGAACAAGTCTGACTAACATGTGTGCATTAAACTGAAATGAGTACGGAAATACACCAGAGTACTAAATAATTGGGTTGATAGTGGCCTTGTTCAATATGGGCAAGGACAAGCATTAATTATTGGGACATTAACAAACAGGGCTTCTCGAGAAAGTCTACGCAAAGGTGTTAGGAAATAGTTCTCATGGAAGAGTTAATTCCATTATCCGGAAAGAGCAGAGTGGTTCCCTGACCAGATTTTCGCCCTGTGCCATTGTGAAGAAATCGTGAGAGTTCGCACATCCACGTGCTTTGTAGACCTGGAGAAAGTCCATCATAGAATATTGCGCAGCGACCTATGGGTATGCCTACAGGCTTCTAGCCAGTTGTTACGAACCATCTAGTAATTCCATGTTGCTGGTAGATATTGCATCAGAGTGGCGTTTGATCTAGAGGCGTCAGCGTTGACACTGATCTCCACCCATGACGTGTTCTATTCCATTTCCTGTTTCTTTTGCACCTGGATGCGATAATAAGAGACAGCCAGGGCGGCGAGAATATCATAGCAGAAGATGTGGAGACGATTCTGATGCGAAGTTTGCTACTTGCAAATGATTTTGTTTTGTTATCGCCCCTCCCACCTTCCAAAAATTACGTCTAGGGCTCTCGCAATGGGTTCGCATCTGAGTGCTACGTGAGAGGCATACGCGTAAACTATCTATCATCTATGTGAACTTCCTATAGCCAAAAGTTGTTCCCTTGGTGTTGAGCTCTATGGATAAGCGAGGTAACAATCAAACGGGTGAGGTTAGGTATCCCGCAGTGGTGTGTACAGCAACAGAAACTCAGAGGATGAGATCGCTCGGCTAACCGAGATGGCGCCGCGGCATTTATTGGGAAATATTCTAACCGTGGTCAAAGCAGGGCTTAGGAAACTGTATATATTAAAGTTCATTTCCGGTTCTGTGCTGTTGTGGTGACGAATTGTGGACTCTGACTGAAAAGTTGTTATTCAAGTACAAATGGCTGAAATGGGCTTTTTGCGACGTTTCACTGGGGTTATTGTTAGCGTCTTGATGTGCTTCAGAGATCACACCGAGTAAACGTTGGTGCACAGCCCTGTTTCTACAGCGTGAGAAGTCGCAGCTTAGATGATATTTACTCATTTTGTGAATGGCTTCAAAAACAAACGTCAAACTGCTACTTATTGCTGTACTGAACGGGTGAATCTCCCTGGGCAAGTGACTCGGTTGAATCTGCTCAAGACTCGTACCCTCCTCTACCGTGGCTGAGAGGGTTGCAGTGGATGAGGAACGCTGGATACCTTTCGTGACGCTGTTTCTAACGGGGATGTGCTGTCATTCCAATTTAACGACTCAGATTTGGTTGGCTGATTGTTTTCGAATGGTTGTGTGCAGCCGATGAAGACGGCATCCGTTTCGCTGGTGACGCAGAGAACCAGTGACAACAGTGAATGATGGACGTCACGCTGTTAAAGCAGTACTTGTGACATGTGATTGTCGAGTAGCATTTCTTGAAGTAATCGCTGTAAAGTTCGTTCGTTCGTTCGTTCTTGTGGTACAAAGTGCATTAGCCAAACGAGGACATGACTTGGCAATGGCGGAGATGCGAGCCTTGAAACTGGTGCCACGATGCATGCATGGATTGGGGGCAGATGATCGTCGTCGTCCGTCACGGCCGTCGGTCGTGTCACGCCGATTTCGTCTCGAACGTGTCGGCTGGCACAGATTCGTCGGTGGCACTGTAGCCCCGATGGATGGTGCGAGATGACGCAATAAGGAAATAGGTTAATGGAGTAAGGGTTCCTTAGATGTAGGCCATTAGGCTAGAGGACACCGGGTGACCGATCGACGGCGGCGACTGCGCTCACCAGTTCTGCAACTTTTTCCTCGTTTCATCGGCCGAACTGGGCCACGTACCGTTTAAAGACTTTTCGGTTTCGGCGCAACGGTTTACGGCTACCGTCGCCGACGTCGCCGCGGTGGAGTACGGTACGGCTGCCGATGCGCGGTGGCCATTGTCAGGACAGTGTGGGAACGCGGCACAGAGCATTCTTATCCGTGACGGCTCGTCTTCACCGTGTGCGTCGTTTAGCGGGCAATGCGAAGGTTTAAGGGTGCTTATGGTCAGCCGTCGTACCGCTAAACAATGATCTTCGACATCCGAGGTCACTCAAGGTCACGCACACGCCCAAAATGGCACCTGTAAATTGCGTCGTTGAATGAACTGACTGACAGTTCTTGTTCGTCGTTCGTCATTGGTCGTTCGTCCAGCTTGCTGGAGATTCGTCATCGTTCGTGCGTGCAAGTTCAAGGACGCCACAGTGGTCGTCTCGTCGCCATGTTCACTGCACTGAGGCGTCGAATGATGCGTCGACGAGCGCGAATGGTCGCTTGGTCCAAACCCACAGCCGAAACCAGCTTTTTGCAGCTAACTTGCCTGCTGGGCGACGAACCAGTTTTCATGGTGGACGTTCGGTCGTCGCTTCTTGCTCGCGTCGTCGAACACCTAACAAAGGCAAGACGAATCAAAAGCCGGGCCGTCGGTCGAAAACTCTGTCATTACAACTTCACAAACAGACAAAAACGGCAGCATCTGCATTCGCCGTCCGTCGAATTTAGATATATTTATGGACCATTTGCCGTTTCGACTGAGGACGCTTGCAAAAGACAAAGTTCGGACATTTTCAGCGACATCCGTCGGCGGGTTAGTGCGGACGCTTCCTCGCTGCAGAGTTTTAACTCATCTCTTGTCACGAAATCGAACTACCTCAGCATGCTTCCCGATCCAAGAGAAACAATGTGTGATAGAGCTTAATTATTAGTAACATGGAAATCTCGTTTTTTCATAAGCTGGGCCAACTTTAATTAAAGTACTTTTAATTGCACAAACAGCTGTCTTCGACAGCAAAAATGGCACCGAACGCATACAGGTTAAAGTGAAGAATAATTAGTAGTTTCATCTTAATATTTAGTTACTTTTATAGGTTAATCCTACTGTACATATCTTAAAAGCGCCAGTCAACAATTGGAACAGTTATCATAACAAAATTACGAGTTGTAACATTAAAGAATGAAACATTTTGTGCATGTCATTTTAATTTTTGGAATATTTATATTTTTAGGTCACTCATAATAGGTGGGCAGCTAGTTTGTATTTGATGAACAGATGCGGTTGAATTTTATACAAACCTTGAAAACGAGTAAACTCTCCTGGTAACTGCTGCTGAATGTTCCTCTATATGGACTGATAACCTGCGCTTCGTTAATGACATATAGCGTTTCACGCGGATCAGACAGGAAACTCCTACTCAATTCAGTGGTATGCTTGGAGGTAACTGATAGAAGATGCTATCAATCACTGGTTCCCATTCGTATATTCTTATTTGACGAACCCCTGAGGCTAATAAATTAGATTTGTCAAGAAAAGCTCATTGTTATAGCACATGGCAGCTATCTGTTTTTTACCAAGTTCACTCGAATGCAAATACTTAGTACTAATTTATGTGACAAATGACAACAAAGGAAGGTTACAACAGAGCCAAATTCAAGTTGATTCACATCTTGGCATCGAATTTCTGAGGAACCCCAGCAACCGGGTTCAGGTGATGCATCCATTAGCCTGTAAAAGACACTGTCCTAACTAACATTCATCGACGTTAGGTTTCTACGGAAATCGTAATAGTGAAAAGATGTAAAATTACTATTGGTGCATAATGTTTGTTTTGCGTTAGTTTCTGCCGACACAGCGTTTTGGATGTTTTAAAGCAGATACATTTTATTTATAAGACGGGTGAGTCTGGCGGAGGGATCAAGTTTAGATTATTCTACTTATCGCCTTAACTGAAACGAAATAGTCGTTTTGCTCAACCAGCACTTAAATGGCCTCGGTAAAGAAGTTTCCATATAAATTTGTCAATTTTTTGAAATTTAGCCAACTCAGAAAGAATAGATTTTTAGTTTAAATTTAATTAATTTTTCATTTCTCGGTAAATCTATAATGTTATACACATGAGGTTAAGTGCCAACTGCTAAAGCATGATAACGCAGAAAGCGTAAAATACAAGAAATTAATGTTGTTTGTAATGAAACCAGAAACGACTAAGACAAAAACTTTTATGCAAATCCTGACAGATTGATTCCTTCTGTATAACTCCCTGTTTAATAGTAACATAGTTTACGTGGTAAGTCTTTGTAAGAAGACTTGAACGAGGGATTGGTTGAAAAGTAGATATCATAAATGGCTTATTGAAACAAATGCGTATTTTATTAATGGGAAAATAATTCAAAACAGATTAACTAGTGCGTGACCGTTGTCCAATCCAAATGCAGGTCATTAATAATCCGGCATAACGTTGCGGTAAACCACCTTCTGGTCAGATCAAATTTTGTGTAGCTTCCTGCCGTATGCATGATGAGCCTCATTGGAACAGAGATCGTGGCATATATTTGAGAGCCTGGCAAAAGAAGTAGTGATTAGATATATAAATAAATTTTCTTTCAAATAAATAAGTATAAACAAACCAAGCATAAAGGCGAGGCAACAGATGGTACATATACTAATGCCGGCACAGAGATAGCGAGGCTGAGTTAAACATCTATGCATATTGTCATTCAATTTTCTTGCTGTGGATTGGTTCCGCCAAAATGGCATCAAAATTTTTCCTCTTTGTTCAATTCTCCTATTTTCGAGTTATATTGTTAAAGTCTTATTAGATGACGCTGTTCTTTATGATACTTTGCTCTAGCACAGCTGAATAATTTTCATCTCATCTGCTGATGCGGGGTTTGTGTTCCGGCATTCATTTTAAAATTTTCCCAATATGGATGCCTCCACAGGCGCAATTTATCGCTACACTTTACCTGATTCCTTCATAGATAGAAAAACATTTAGGTTTTGTGGTAAATAGCCTGCCACCCTAACTGCCCACTTTCATTTTCTGATTGCAAATAAAGGTGGACAAGAGGAATGCTATGCCGCATGTTTGATGCATTATCCTTCATTAAAAGGATGACAACATGAACAGAAAACAATGGGAAGTGTTTTGGTCCACACTTTATATAACCTAACCATGCAGACGATGTAATCATTAGTTCCTGTCCATTTCATAATTTCACTCATCGTGTAATTTATAATCTTGCGCTCCTTGTACCAGGAGCAGTCATTTTTTTAAACACAATAGGCAAGGTTCTGAAAAGGTTTTATTCTTCTTCCATCTTGCATAGTAAATTAGCATATCTAAAATCAGTAATCTCTTGGTCTAAGATTTTGGAGTTCAATTCTGCTAGTCAGAGCAGTCTTTAAGTCAAAAGTGGCCGGTCGTTCTCGGTTATCATAGCCGCACGGCAAATTTTCCTCTAGTTTTAATGTGCATTTACATTTGCAGGAGTGGCTGAGATGAACTGCCGTAATTTGCCCCTCAATAAGATTTCTATTTTGCTCACCGCTGAATGTCTGTCACTTGGATGGCACTGTGGTGAAAAATCGACTGTAAACGTTAAAGGTGCTCAATTCGAACTCCGAGAAAGAAAATTACTTCTCTTAACAGTCAGTTCTGTTGAAAAAATAATTCACCCCATATTGCTTCGGTTCAACCAGTGGAGAAACGGATATCGCTATGTTCTACTGTGGTCATAAGAAATTATTATTATGAAGTAGGTCAGAGAAAAACCATTGTCATGCTATCTAATGCGAAAGCCTCTCAGAACTGCAGTTCGCCTTTACTTACTTACAAGCTGACTCTTCAGAGTGACAGTGGGCACAAGGTGTAAACCTGTTATTGTTGCTCATGGAATACTGAGGACGGATTCGCAAAGAGCATCAATATGCATGATAGCTAAGCTATACGGATTATGGTTTATCAGGTAGCAACATCTGAACACTGTATCCACTAAGAATCCTCAGAAAATGTGTCGATCATCTTTAATGACAACTCTACTCATTTGTGAACAGAATCGCTAGAATGCAGTTAGAAATTTAATCACTCTCATGATCCTCAAAAATCATCTTGGCATTACTGCTATTTATGACTGTGAACAACCTGTTAGTGTTTCTGAAATCGTTGTTAATATTTCCGGCAAACGAAGTAACAGAACAACCTTTCTTTCCTTCTCCTCACACGGTTACGGCATAACTTCATATTTTACCATATCTCATCACACGCTGGTTTAAGAGTATACTGAAGTCATAACCACTCTAGCCATTGTTCGAGCATTGTTCGTACGGCTGCTGCTCGACTGTTCCAAATTCACAACGGCTGCGTAATTAAGACCAGTATATGTTTCCAAACAAATCCAAATTTTGTCATTTCAAGGAAGCAAGGAAGAATATGGAAAGAGAAAAATTTGTAGTCTTTGAAAAATCAGTCACTACACAATCTTGACAGCCACTCAGGCGAGTTTTTGGTCGTGAAGTTATTGGAGGGCGTTGATTTCTATTGCCAGTGATATTTGCTATAACTGGCGTTTGAACGCAGCGTTGACAGCACCTCTATAAGGGCACAGTGTGTCCTCTCTGGTTCTCTTCTGACGGAGTTCATTGGATTATCATCTTCGAAAGGAAGTAGGGAGTGACCCACCTGGGCTCGACTGAGGAAACTTTCCGCTGTGACTCCAACGCTCTACTGACTGAACAATTATTGGGGGACAAAAGAAATCGGTAAAATATTGAAAATTTGCAATTTAATAGTAAACGAAACGCAAATTTATAGTTTCAGATAAGTGCGAACATATCAACTAACTTTTCTAGTGAATCACCACTTGGACAATATTTTTATTCAAGTTGTATCAAATCCGGTCTCAGCACAGTGACTCGTTTAATATTATAAAGCCCTCCTGAACAAATGTAGAACTATTATATAAAACAGACATCGATAAACAATAGGCATACATAAATCTGCTCTCTTAATATAAATTCAGTTATATGCTCTATTACACTGGAGTCTTAAACATTGTTTCAGATTGAATGCGCCAGTATTTTGATAATGAAGTTTATAATATGGGTAGCAACATTAAATGCAAAAGTCTATAGAATGCCTAAAGCTTCTTTATTAGCCGGGTAGCATCTAGTACGTACGCATATGCAAGCTGTTTCGTTTAGGCAATCTAGAAAGTCGTTATCCGTTATAAAAGCATTTTTAAACGCTTCACATGCCTTTGTTTGAGGTAACATTGCAATGGCATTCTTCTAAAATTTTAGTAAATTTCCTTTCATAAGCCATTACCACAGAACAGGAGAACTAACTGAAAGCATACTGTTTATTTTCAGGGATTTGGTAAATAATAATCTCAAATATATATCTGGTCAGACTGTGGCAGCATAATACCTTTCTGCACTTCATCATAGCTCTATGTATGACTAAATCGTGGCGATTTCATTACGGACCAGAATTTTGGCATTGTTACCCAATCCTTGGGAAGTGAGGCTGCATCACCTTGTAGTTAATGAGGTGACGCTCATTAATTGACGTTTGTCACCACCCCATGCATTAGGTGTCGTTCCTAATCAGAAACGGTCAACATCAGGATGCTGCTGATTAGTAAACAGATGCTCATGACCAGGCGGGGACTATATCGGTGTCGGCATTGATTGGCCGTTGGCAGACATCTTTAATGACATAAGTTTAGCTTTCAGTGTACGTAGATGATGTTTTCGTGACTAGATCTGTGAGACATTGACGAACTAAATGAAGTGCATCAATGAAGTGTGAATAGAATCACAAAACTAGCTCAAAATCAGCTAGTAATTAATCTATGTAACCTTACGGTAAGAATGTGTTCGTTGGTGTTTCGAATTCGTTTCGTATTCAGTCTGAGAAATTAGTGCAGTTGCATGTAGGTGCTGTACTATCATCAAGTTATCATTTTTCTTTGATGGTCGTTAAAACTACGCTGTCAGATTGTGTTGTGTGATTCTCGAGAAGCTAGCATGTTAGTTATTCTTATTTCCGGCACTAGCGCAAATTACTTTTTTCAGTACCTCCTCATTGCACTTGAGCTGTAATATATATGGCATTTTCTGTTCAGATAAATGGTGTCAGCAACGTACAAGTTTAGCCAAAGTTACATCGCTTAATTTTCCAAATGATTTACATTCCAAACTCCACGGACGTGATTTTTACTCCACCGCCTACCTGATCCTTCAGATATGGCTTGAATCTTACCTAGA